TTAAATGGACTGCCAGGGATCCCTGGGTGGCGCAGCGGTTTGGCGCCTGCCTTTGGCCCAGGGCGCGATCCTGGAGACCCGGGATCGAATCCCACATCGGGCTCCTGGTGCATGGAGCCTGCTTCTCCCTCTGCCTGTGTCTCTGCCTCTCTCTCTCTCTCTCTCTGTGACTATCCTAAGTAAATAAAAATTAAAAGAAAAAAAAATAAATAAATGGACTGCCAATTTACTCTTGAAGTTGAATAACTCAAGTAAAGCTTTTGGTTTATAAGACAATGAAAGATAAAATTATGTGTTTACATACAACGCATACTGCATCTGCATTGTACGTAAAGGTTAAATTTCCCATCTCTCTAACGTATTCATATCATCAGATAAAAATCTGACCTCATTTCTTATATCTGATTACTCACATCATTAATAATTTAACATATACTTTTGTCTAATATAAAGCTAACCAAGACTCACCTTTTGTGGGAAGTTCCTTCTAAAGCAATTTCTCCTAAATATCTGGTTCCTAACCTTTTTTTCTGTATTTTACCATAGACATGAAAATCAGAATAATCCAACGAGTATAAAATAACATATTCAGTGTTTTTCTAATTGTACAATGCTCCCCTACCCCTGTATGATGACAATTGTGATTAATTTACTTAGTATTATACTAGCATTTTGTACTCCACTTGAAATGGTTAACCTCTATCAACAAAAGGTTTTCCCAACAGGGGAGCCTATCATGTGTTTTTAACACTAAATATCATATTACTTGCACTTAAATGAAAACCTTCTAAAAATGATTCTATATCACCTAAATGATATTTTAAAAAACATCTTAGAATACATATCCAATTCAGAAAAAAACTGTAGAAAGACCAGGTTTTCATTTGTAAATGAAATCACATTAAAATAAGTAGGACCTAGATCTATCTTTGGCATAGGCAGCTTCCCATGATGAATCTCGTAAGTCGCTGAAGGAAGGTGACCTTTTCAGAAAATATCTCTGCTCTGAATAGTCTTCATTTAATCACGTTGCCTTGACACTGACCAATATGGGTTAGCAAGCTCCCTTTTCTCCTTTTAAACAAATTCTAGCTGTCTCAGGATGTATTTTAATTTGGTTTGTTAGTTATTCATACCTACCCTAGAATACTATGAAGAGTTTAAATTTGAGAACTTCATAGAAATTTAAGAATTCATCTAGTACACTCTCATGTTTAACAGCTCAAGATCCAGGGTCATTTCAGTATAACGGTCAAAACCATTGTTTCAGAGGCTGGCCTGCCTGGAGAGTTGTGAGACCTTAGGGAAACGACTTCAATTCTCTTTACCTTGTCCTTCTCAATTGTGAAATGGGGATGATGCCTCATAGTTTAGTAACAACTGCACAGATTATTGTGAGGATGAAATGCCATAGTAGATATAAAATGATTAAAGAACACCTGGTATATGGCAAATGTTTTTTTGCTATTACCATGAATTTATTATGGGGATCACAATTGACTTACCTTAAGTGAATACCAGGGTTATTATTTATAGACACTGAGAAGAACATTTCTTTTAGAAATTCACTAAATGTCAATGGGCATAGTAAGAGGAAAGGGAACCAATGGCATTCACGCACCTGGGTCACGGAGCTGAACCAAGAGGTAAGCCTCAGAGAATCTTCTTTAAGCGGCATGTGTGCTGGAGAGAAGAGACATACAGGAAGAGACCAAGACTCCTACTTTAATTTTTAGGATGGGGATAATCAGGAGCACAGAACAAAATTAATGAGGGTCTGATTTCCTGGCCTTGTATCTGGTTTCCTCACACCTCAAACAGTTAAATGGTGTTCTGGTTAAAACAAGAAATAATGATAAAAAATAAAAAAAGATGGCACTCTGGTACATGGAAGAAATCATTGCATTTATCTGTTCTGAGTAAATGAGCCAAGCACAGTTAAAACTAAATTCACCAAGTTGGAGACTTCTCTTGTTCTAAAATACAGTTTCCCGAGATCAGAGTCATTTGGGTAGAAATAACAACAGGAATCCAGTTCTAACATAAAAACCTAATAATACTCTTCTCAGCAGAATGTGTAAGAAACCAAAGGTAATTGTCAGTCTTGTGAGACCACTGAAGATTGCCATAAAGGTATCATATTGGTGAAAACAGCAAAGAACTTGAAGATGCTTTTGCAATCTAGACAGAATGGTTGAGTTTAGGGAATACTGCAAGGGCTCTAATCACATTCTCAACATTAACGTCCGATTGCTTTCTCTTCAAAAACCCAATTTCTCTTATCATCTCTTTCCATGACATATGAGGATATGTAAGGAATTAGATGTCATGATGTTTCCAGTCTATCCAGAATGCTGGTTGGCCGCTCTCTCTTCTACACAGAACATTTAAGTCAGTAGCATTTTGTCTGCTGAAATGCCCCTTATTATTTAATTTAAAAACTAGCATTCCTCTATTAGGATTTTATGTATCCTTTGCCTTTACTTGTAAGGCTACTCCTCGACAAATGGCCGTCACTTCTTAATAAAATCTGAAAAGTTCAACATAGGAAAGTAAAAGCCATTTTTCTTGAAGTGTGACTTCTTGGGAGAGAGAGGCAGAGATGCTAGGACTAGAAAGATCCCAGGTCTTATATGGGAACAATTTTCTCCCTCTTCATACCTCCATGAATACCTGGGTAATGGAAAGGGATGAGCTTGTGTGAGGATGAAGTTGAGGGTGTTTCTTTTTTTCTTAAAGATTTTGTTTGTTTGAGAGAGAGAGACAGAGACAGAGACAGAGAAAGAGAGAGAATTGGAAGCAGACTCCACACTGAGTGCAGAGCCCAAAGCAGGGCTGGATCCCACAGCTGCAAGATCATGACCTGAGCCACCCAGGCACCCCAGTTGAGAGTTTTGCTAAAAGGCAATTGGAAAGAATTATGCTGGTACCCTCCTGCTAGTGTTTCCCTAACACTGAAAAACTGGCAGGGACTGTATGAGGCTATGACTACCACCAGCCCCAAAATATCCAGACAAAGCTCTCCTGTTCTCTATCTGCATAGAGCTCTACATCCAGGCCAGTTTAAGGTATAAATTGAACCCAAAGATTGGAAGAAAATTACCAAACAGATAAGGTTTATAAGGTTTATTCGGATCTACTGGGGATAGAACACAGGACAGGCAGGACAGGGAAGAAAGTGAAAGCTTAAGGCAACAATATCTAATCAGGGAAGTTACCAGATCCAGGATGAGATGTTGGAAGATAAAATACTGGGAACATACAAAAAGCCATTGTAAAATCAACATTAACATGTATACTTTCATGTTTTAAAAGCATTTTACTTGTTTTATTTTCTGACTGCTCTTTTTCTGATTTAACATTTGTTTAGATTTCTTTTAGATTTCACAGCCAAACAGCACCATTTCTGTGGAAGCAGCATGCAATATAGCATCAGGGTCAGAATTTTAGTCACTGCCCTGGCACTCACTATCTTTGTGGTCACGTACAAGATGCTGTAACGTTTCTTCTTATTGGTAAAATAGGCTTTTTCACAATATATCGCTTACATGGTTGTTAAAAGATTACAGAACATAGATGGTAAACACTTCGTGAAATATGGAGTAAAATAACAATTAGTATTATGTAACAGCTGGTGATAGGCAGATATGGTGCGCTAATTAGGGTGAAATGTGAGATTCATGTGGCAACTTCACCTATTCTAGTTTTTTATTTATTTATTTTTTTTATTAATAACCCTTGCTGTTTAGGATCTCTGGGTTTGGTTCTGCTTGAGCCCTTTCATGCTCCTGTTAAGGGTGGTGAGTCAGCGTCAGAGACCTGAAAATGTGCACACTAGTCAGTATCTGGGCCTGGGCAGGGAGCCAGCATAAAAGGGATAAGTCCTAATATCCGAGATGGTGTCCGGGAGTGGCCTTCTGGATCCAAAGGCCAACGCATTGGAAGGTTCTTTGGGTTCTTGGACAGCTTTCTGGAACTGTTGTATTGCCAGAAGTTGTTCTGGCATCTTCTGGGAGGTTTTGATGCCTTCATGGGGACAACCAGCCAGACTTTCTTTTTCAATCTTACACTACCTAGCCATCCCAGTTTAATTCAAACCACTCATGATTGCTTAACATCCTGTGGCCATGGCCCAAACCACCTCCTCCCTCATTTCTGCTCTCTTTATCCAAGCTCTTTGCAGGAGTTTTGTTTACAGGGATTTAAAACATTGCTTCCTCTCTGTAAGTGACATATTTTTGCTGCGTTCTCAATTAGCCATAATTAACAGCTATAATTGGGAATGTCATCAAGGCGAAAGACAGAAGTAATTCCAAAACCTGGCTCCAGTGCCTGGGCAGTTGTCTGCTGCTGAGAAAGTACACATGACTTTGGTATGTGCCACCTCCATGGAGATGCCGTTGTAGATTCCACTAATATATGTCACATTAAAATCTACCTTTTTGTGATCAGAGCGTGTCAAAACCTGTTTGCTATGTAGCCAAAGGTGGATACATGCTTCCACATCCAGTTAGTCTAGATTAAAGACAACAATAAAAGAGAAGGCAAAAACAAAGGCCCTGAGCACATTTTCTCCCTTTCAATTGAAGGACCAATTTTTACTTTTCAGCATCTTATTGCTATCAAAGTCGTGCAGTCTTTCTCTAAACATGGATGATTTGTTTTTCATTATCGGCATTGGGATTAATTTTTTGCTCTGCCTTTACGGTAAATTATTAATCTTTTCTCAAAGTGAGAGCTTGCCTATTACTGGTGTTCATAATCCTCTGTTTTGTTATTTTTAGTCTCTGATAAAAGGTTACTTGATCTTTTAACAAGCAACTCTGTTTTATATACATCTACATTATCTCTAGGATATATGTTTATTTACTTTGCTGTATTTATGCAAAAAGAGTGAATAAAGAGGCACGGTCTTCTGAGTCACTGAGCATTATTTTTATTTATTTATTTTTTAAATAGAGGTGTAATCGACAAAATGTATTGTTCTTCTTAAAACCCCCAAAATAAATTGTCAGCTGTGTTGTCATGTCCACTCTCTCATTTTATCTTCGAATGCTCTTTTCACCTGGTCTCAGCAGACATGCTCAGAGGAGGCTGAGGGAAGATCAAAGGGTAGACAGAAGCTATTGCTCTATGTCTTTTGAATTTCTGGTGGATTTAATCCTTATGGAGTAATTCATAAAGTAAAACTCTTTAAAAAATAAAATACAACTCTTTTTCTTACCAGCACCAGAAATGATGTATAAGAGATCGGTGCCATATTCCAGTATTTTTGAGTTTTCCATTACTTTAAAACGCATCTTTGCCTCTAGTACTAATTTATTTATAGGTCTCAGGTCTTGTTCTCATCTGATGGATTCTATTTTCCAAAGGTGCTTGTTATTAAATTGGAGGATACAGTGACAGAAGTTATTTTAAAAGTTTTTTAATTCCTCCTTAGAAATCTGTGGTCATCATTTTATCAAAGTCTGCTCCCTTGTTATTATGCAACTAATATTTTTCTAGGGGAACTAACAGGTTTCACGGAATTGTCAACATGATTTAATCCTAATACGATTTACTCAAACGTTTCCCAAAGAGCAAAATGTATTCTTAAGAACTTCCAAAGAGGAAAGGAGGCAGAAATAGGGCAAAAGTGAAGGCATAGTTTACTTGTAAATTCTTATTGGCTCTTTCAGCAAACTACACATTTGGCAGTTACCCAGTTCATTTGTTCTTGTAGGTTTGGCCAGGCTAAATGATGCCTGGCTTCCTGAATGTATTTGGCTTGTAGTTTTTCTAGACAGGTAGTCCAAAACAATTAAACTAGCCAATAAAGGGCCCAGAGATAAAATTTTGATTATTTAAGGCTAAAAAAAAATTGTCACAAAGGAGATCTAGATGGTATATATCTAGAGCTCCAAAATTTCCAAGTCCAGGTTTATTTTACTATCATTTGAATCAGTTTCCTACAAAATGGTTCATAAAGTGACAGGACTCATTATATATCTTATGGAGGCTCATTTGATGTAGAAGATTTTACTGCTATAATAAACAATAATATTATCTTTTTCCAAATGCCTATTTGGTAAATTATGGAAAGCATAACACAAGCATTATCTCCTGTAATCTTTTTTAAAACAAGACAAGCACAGCTGAGGCAAACAACTCACCAGCTGTGGGACTCCTGGGTAAATCACTTCACCTCTCTCTGATTTTATATTCTTGTCCATAAAATTGAAATGATGATAACATAGTATATAACTCATAGGGCTCCTATAAGAATAAAATATCATAATTAATATGAAATACTTAAGAGGCCTAACATCTAGTAAGCCCTTTATAAATGCCCCTACTGAAATGATACGATTGCTCTTATTACAACATTTTGTGGATGAATACACTAAGCCCTAGTTTAAAGAAGGTTTTCATGAGCACACATGTAAGGGATTGGGGAGCTGGGATCTGAACATGAGTGCATCCTTTTTTTTAAAAAAACATATTTTAAATTTTTTATTTATTTATGAGAGACACACAGAGAGAGAAAGAGAGAGAGGCAGAGACACAGGCAGAGGGAGAAGTAGGTTCCCTCCAAGGAGCCTGATGTAGGGCTCGATTCCAGGACCCCAGGATCACGACCTGACACTCAACCACTGAGCCACACAGGTGCCCGGGGTGCCTCTGATTTTAAAGCCACAGTTATTTATTGCTCTAGTCACCCCTACTGTTACTGAACTGTTTGCCATTGAAAGTCCAAATACAGATTTTCAGAAAGCATCTCCCTTAGAATTACCATTTGTTCGAAGGTAAAATTAAAAAAAAAAAAGAGCTTCTGAAAATATTGTTCTAGTCAATTGATACTTCTCATTTTTTCACTCAAAATCAAAGACTTATGCTAATTTGGGGCACACACTGTTTTAATACTTCACTTGTTTATGTAATAAATAATTGAAGAGTACATATTTTTAAATCACTGAAAAAAGCTCAGGTGTTACAATTCATAAATGTCTGAAAATCAGGAGTTTTTAACTACTCTTTATTCATAGTTTAGGTGAGTGTGATTTTCAGTATTATATATCTATTTTTTTTCTTCTGCAGATGTACAGAAATCAGTAAAAAAATTTCTTTTAAAAATAAAGGTTCAGCTCCCTGGAACCACTGAGTTTTGCCTTATCTCATTCTATTACTTAAATCCTGCATATGTACTTTACTTCTCTGCATGTTAATGGTGACCTTGAAAGCTGAGAAATTCTTTGAAATACTCTCTGAATATCCAGTCTCTCCCCAACACAGCTCCCACCTCACCAACTGTCTAATAAAGATACTCTGGGACTGCTGCTTTTATCAAACTGTCACCTCTACTGTTTCTAATCTTTGTCTCAAAAACATAGTTTTTCAGTGGCTGCCTATTTTTATGTTATTTAAATTTAGACACTATAAATTTTTATAAAGTCCCATAAAAATAAGCATTAACTTCCTTAGATGTCTTTCAACTTCCCATAAGAATGAATTAAAAAGCAAATAGAATTTTGTAAGCGTAGTATTTTTAACAAAAAGAAAAAAAAATTAGGGCAAACTGATGTGTTCAGAGCCACTGTCAGAAATTCAAATGCCATTTTAAAGTTAGAAGTTAAAAGAGCCTGAAGTTAAAAAAAAAATCATGTGGAAGAATGTTAGAAAATAGGTACTTTAATGAACTTTCTAGTCTAAAAAAGAGTATTTTAAGTAGGATTATATATGATAAAAAAGAAAGTTTTTAAGTATAATACCAGACTTGAAAAATAAAATGAGCTACTTGGCTCTCTCTCACCCTCTAGTTCTTTCTCTTTTTCTCTGAAAGTCACTCTGTCCAGCAAGCCAAGCAATTCTTATAGCAAACAGCCCCAAGTGGTGTGGCTTGATTAATAATTAACACCTTCCCTAATTTTTGTCTTTCCTTCCAGCTCAGGACAAACAGAGAAAGCCAGATATGCAGCCCTCTCCCATCACATAGTGGCCCAGTTTCCAGTTTTCCTACCTACAGCTTCCCCAAGACAGCAATCTCCAAAGAGGGCACCTGCAGACTTCTCTTTCTTCTCCTCAAACCTTCACACTCTTCCACTTTCCTTTGAGTCTGCCAAATGCAAGTGGCTGTGGCTGACTCTAGCAAGTTTTTTTTTTTTTTTTTAATTTGGACTCTGCACTTATTTCATTCACTTTGCCACCTCCTTCTCCCTGAGGGGGTACAGGTAAGGTGGGATATGTAACTATATATATTTCACTGCAATCAAGATAATGTAAATAGTCATCATCCCTGAAACTGTCATAATAACCTTTTATAAACTCTCCACCTGAATAGTCCTGCCTACCCCCCATCTCTCAACAACCACATACTTTCCTTCTGTCTTTATGTGTGTGCATTTTCTAGAAATTTATACAAATCAAATCATAAACTATATACTATTTTATATCTGCCTTTTTTCATTCAGCATAATTATTTTGAGATGCATCCATGTTGTTCCACGTATTCATATGTAATCCCTTCTAACTGCTTAGTAGTATCCCATTGTATAGCTATGGTATGATTCACTCATTCATTCATCTATTATCAACATCTGGGTTATTTTCAGTTTTTTACTATTATAAAAACACTACAGATATTCATATACAACTTTTGGTACAAACATAATTTTATTTCTCTTGGGAAAATATAAAGTAAAATGTCTAGGGTGTATGCTTAACTTTTTAAGAAGTTGCCACAACTTTTTCTTTTTCTTTTTTTAAGATTTTATTTATTTATTCATGAGAGACACAGAGAGAGAGGCAGAGACACTGGCAGAGGGAGGAGCAGGCTCCACGCAGGGATCCCAAAGTGGGACTCGATCCTGGGACTCCAGGATCCGGCCCTGAGCCAAAGGCAGATGCTCAACCACTGAGCCACCCTGGCGTCCCATCTATACAATTTTCTAAAGTGATTTTATTATCTTATGTTTCCACCAGTAGTGTACGAGGTATCCAATTGTTTCAAATCCTTACCAACACTTTGTATGATCAGATTTTTAAATTTCAGATATTCTAATAAGTATTTAATGTCTAATAATATTAACCCAGTTTTCATGTGTTTATTTCCAATCAGCATATCTTTTTTAAGTGATTACACTTAATTTCATTTGAAGGCTAATTAACTATAACTCATTAAAAGATAATCACCTTTTTAAGCAAGAATGATACAACAACATATTTTGGGACTTCTAGGATATGGAAATAAAAAGAATGACAATAGGGTACTTGGGTGGCTCAGTGGTTGAGCATCTGCTTTGGCTCAGGTCATGATCCCTGGGTCCTGGGATTGAGTTCCATATTGGCGTCCCCACAGGGAGCCTGCTTCTCCCTCTGCTTGTGTCTCTGTGTCTCTGCCCCTGCCCCAAGAATAAATAAAAATCTTTAAAAGTAAATAAAAATTTTAAAAAGATGACAATAGCACACACAAAGAATAGGAGGGAAAAAATGTGGTGAGGAGATAAAAACAAATACAAGCAGAACTAAAAGTTCCTATTCTTCACTCTCATACCCAAAGGGCAAGATAATATTGTTGAAATATTGCTTTCATGCAGGGTGAGTTACCTAGTGGTAGACATGGTCAAAGGGAAAGTCAAAACAAATTTAGATCAAATCTGGGTCATCTTTGTAGTGATCCCTGTATCAGCCACTCCCTATCTTGAAGAGGGCCCAGGTCTTTTACCCCATGCCTTAAAATAACATTACCTAAGCTGGGTGATTTATCTGAGGAAAAATTGCTCCCAGGAAAATCTATGAAATTTTGAGTAAAACACTGGCCTAAATAATACATAACAAACTGAAAAACTATACTAGGTTAAGCAATATTAATAGGTAAGCCAAAGTAAGATTTACACCATTTTCAAAGATATGAGATAAATTTCAATAATATGGAACAGAGACAAACAAAAATAACTGTTTTGTTAACAGAAGGACTAATTGGAAGCATTAAACATAAAAATAATTTACATAAAGAACTCCATAAATGAGATTTATAGCAGAACTGATACAGGTAAACTACAAATTAATGAGTTGAAATACTTGGTTGCAGAATTACCTCAAAAGGCATCAGGAAAAAATAAAAAAAAATGTAATAATTCAAGTGACTTAGAGAATAGAAACAGAAGTATAAATATCTGTATATTTTGAGGGCCATAAAGGGAAAACAAAAAAAGATAGGGAGTGTTAAAGAAAAAAGTCCTTCGAACAGAAGGAAATTCACATCAGATGGTAACATGAATCCACCTGATGGAAGTAAGAGAAATGGAAATGGATACAACTTAGGTAAATAGAGTATCTTATTTCCTGCTATGTATGAATTCTTGAAAAATGTTGACTGGAAAGTACTCAATGTATTGCAAGTCAAAAAGTCTTAGATTGAACTCAGTTTGCCAAAAGAAAAAATAAATATACTGCTTTCCACCCTGGCTGCTGATGATGGTTAAGCCAAATGTCATTCTGCGGGGAGTAACTTAACTACTTCAACTTTATTTCTGCAGAATGCCCCTGAAAGCTCCCACTGTGTCTTTCTTCCTCCCATGAATGCAGATATTATGGTTGAGGCTCCAGATCATCTTCCTACAGTGAGGGCTGGCTGTGGCATAGCTCAGCCTCAGCACCGAAACAAGACTTGACCTCAAGACTATGTGGAATAATTATAACACTGGTCCTCAGTATCCAGGATACAAGTTTTGTTTTGTTACTGTAAACTCATTATTTTTATATCAAAACACTTTTTATTTTGTCAATGTACTGCTATTTCAGACACTGGTCAACAACTTTATGAACATTTCTGTTTTTTTCTCTAATTTTTTCTTCCCCTCCTCTTCTTTAACCTCCTTTCTTCCCACTTATCTCTGCTATATCACCATAGACCTCCATAATTTTCTTCATCTCTGACCTCCTTCACCTCTTCTGCCTCCTTCCATTTCTACTCCCCTGTGAAGGGTCATCATGGACTCAGGGGAAACCCATAAAGAGGGACAAGCTCTCCACTAGGGAAAGGGATAATACACTGGGGAATGGTACTGCAACTCAGTCCCATTGCAAAGATTAGAAGAGCCACTGGAGATGGTTGCTTTGCAAGTGCTTCCTCAAAAGGGTTAAAGATAAAAAGAAAATACTGAAATCTCAACAAACTACATCAGAGATGACAGGCATGAGAATTTCCTTGACAGCAGAAGAACTAATATAGCAGCTAATAATTTATATTAGAATCTTAATAAATGTTTAACAATTTTATGCTTAAAAATTTATATTTTTCTTGATGGATTATATATTTTATTTAAAACACACAAAATTTAGTCCTACCCTTCTAAAATTAATTTTGAAGATTTTAAACAAACTATTAGAATAAATGCCAAAATTGTGCAGCACCTAGATTTTAAAAAAATACCAGCATTCTAGTTTTCTCTCGTTTTCCCACAATTCTGTTGTATGAGAAAAATAAAGCCTTAAATGTTTGTCACTGTTAGTCTTCCTCTTATTTACAACTGAATGAACACATTTCTAATAAAAACAAACTATATTTCCCTGTAAGTATATACATTTGCATATAAATCAAACAGATAGAAAGGGGTCTATTATGATATATCTAAAATAACAATGTGTGTCTATCAAGGAGTATTTCAATTTTTCTCTTCTGCTTGAGAAATCATATTAGTTGTATAAATGAAATAAAAATTAAAAAGCACATGGAAAAAAGCAAAGATAACCAGGACCAGTTTGCAACTAGGATCTACTGAAGAACAATTTTTAGATAATTTCCAAATGATGGGCTGTTTCTCCTTCTTTCAACAAGACTATTTCCATTGTCCTCATATTTCCAACCCATTCCACTACCATCTCATATCTCCTTCTCCTTACTCTTCTTGTTTTTACTTCCAAAGAAAATAGAAACCAGTAACTCAATGCTCTTCAAGAGAAGTTATCAGATATATTCAATGATTCCCACCTCTGAACACATCCTCCTTTAATTTTTTTTTTGTTTTTACTTGAGAGAGAGAGAGAGAGAGAGAGAGAGAGAGAAAATGAGAGCTGAGCAGATGGAGAGAAACAGACTCTCTACTGCATGTGAGACCCTACTCAGGGTTCAATCTCACAACCCTGAGATAATCAAGAGTCAGCCACTTAACTGACTGAGCCACCCAAGTGCCCTAAACATCTGACTCAATCTCAGCTCAGGTCTTGATCTCAGGATCATGAGTTCAAGCCCCCCAAGGCCCACATTCAATCCCAACATGAAGCGTATTTAAAACCAAACAAAACCAAAACATCATCTCATAGACAGCATTGCTGAAACATAAATCTCTCCCTCTTCAATTTCTCCACTTGCCGATTTTTATTTTGTTTTTATAATTTTTACTATCTGTTTCAATTCCAGACAGATGCTAAGCCTTCTTAATATAATATTTCTTCCATCACTCACCAACACTTAACTAATCAGTAAGTCCTTTACATTTTTAACCTCCTGAGTAGTCAGGAGCCAAACCAATTTCTTGAGAAAATTCTGTATTTACTATTATCTGAAGCAACATCCCTTAAACTACAACTTAGACATATAAATGATATTTTTCTATGCACTTTTCCCATTCTCATTTGCAGGGTTCATGATTAACACCAGAATCATGATTATAACTTTTTAAACTTCAACTATGAGTATACTTCTATAAATTAAAACACTCAAAAAAATCACTCAGTGATTTCATTTTAAGATTATAAACCAAAACACTGAATGTGACATGCAATGCCTCACTAATCCTGTCCTTGCTTACATCTCCTCTTTCCTTTGATATCATACCTCTACTTATTCAAATTTCTTTTTTTTTTCCTGTAATGGACCACCTTCCCTGTTGAAATTAGATCTTTACATATGACCTTCTCCCTAGCTAGAACAATCACTTCTTTCTTTCGACTTACTTAAAATCTTATTTTTCAGAGAGCTGCAACTCTTTCACATTCTTTGTGATGCCTTCTCTAGTGTTGTCTGTGGGGTAAGCTAGCTCTCACCCTAAGATTTCATAACTCTCACACTGTTTTCTCTTCAGTTGTTTTTACATTTTAAAGTAGATGTTTAGTTAATTTATCTCTTCCCAATCTACG